ATGTATTTGACACTCAGAGCTCATTTAATTTGCATTTCTGATATTTCATACATCCTGTTCCATTTTGTTAATCTTTGTATATACATGAATGAATTATATTGGAATAACAGGATTTGTCTTTGACAAAGACATTATTGTTGGACCATTATGGTATATCTCTCATTATAGGTCACATTGAGTATAGAACTAATATCGTGACACATAGAAGGAACTGTGTTGATCTAATGACATAGACCCGCTATGATCCTTAGTAGTTTTTGCTTAATACTGATTTATGATTTCTCCAATTTACAAGGGATTTAGTTTATTATTTGAGCATGATGTTCTAAATCAAGAAGTTGGATAATATCGCATAGACCAAGGGGGAGAATGCTAGAAACTTTATTATATAAGTAATATTTTATTATGGTCCATGTGAGTCATTCCTAGCTTCTTGGACCACTTGTCTAAATCCCATTGGTCAAGAGAAGAGTGGGTAGTTATATTAACCATTTGTTGATGGTATGAGGGTTATATAAGGTAATTCATTTTTGAAATGGGCGCTCTCTCCAACCTTTATGGAATCGTTTCTCTCCATCAAGAAAAGAATCAATAAAGATTACTAAAGAAAGGTTCAAGAGGGAGATTCTATGTTTGTTCAAAAGGGCTCTTGTGCCTAATTATTTGCCACTAACATGGATCAAGGTATGTCTTCTTCCCTAATTGTTATGCATGTGATAATCATATAGTTCTAAGATCTTAATTAAGTATGGATGCAACTATTAATATTTTGATTTACATAATTTAAATGCAAAACTAAAGTTTTCATTAAAGTCATTGTGAATTATTCCTATTGATAAAATATCTAAATAATTAATAAACAATATAACATATGTTATGTATTATATTGTTTTGCGTTTTTTCCATAACCCTTAACAAAAGGTAAGCATTACGATATGTGTTATCATTATTTTCAACATTGCTAACATTGTGATGGGTAACTGCGCGAGGGCTTCAATCTGGAGGCAAAAAATCGTCGACGACTTGGCGGAATGAAGTTGAAATCCATGATGAACCATTGTTGTTGGTGTTCACAGAATGAACAATATCTTGAACAATGAAACTTAGGTTGTTTTGTGAGTTTTGGTGCTATTTGTTGGTCGGATAGATGGGAGGACTAATTGCAAATTATAGATCAAGATGAGGGGGCGTTGGGATTTGTAAAGAGAGATTTTAATGATAGCTAGCTAGGTATCACATCCAAGGGCTTCACACCCCAAAGAGAAAAATCCTAAAAATAAAATATATTACAAATCCCAATTTTTTTTATCTATAGAGAGAATTTCAAACCCAATTTTTTTTATCCATCAAGAGAGAATTTCAAACCGAATTTATTTTAATGATAGCTAGGTCTCACATCCACGTGCTCAAGAGAGAATTTTAAACCCAATTTTTTTTATCCATCAATGTCTATTACTCATGGAGGATTACAACTTTATCAATAGAGACCTAGAAAGTAAGTCAAATCCTAATAAAAAGGAAATAAAAATAAAATCTAACAAAATAAAATCTCAGAGATCCTAAAAATCATAAATGAAATCTTGCCTAAATAGGAGATTACATCAAATATTATTAAAATAAAAATGATTTTTGTAAATCCTAAAATCTTTTGATCAATGGCCTATGATCGTCCTAAATCACATTTTCAAACCTTTACCATGTAATCATCACATATCAGGCTTCATTTCATAGGGATGTTGAGGAGGGAATGAAGTGCGAAGTAGAGTGCACTGAGGTAGATGAATGGACATCCCTTTTAAGCTTCTTATTCGGTTGGAGGGGGAGCGAAAGAAGGTACATAACAATTTTGTTGTTTGGTTGGAGGGAAGGGAAGGAGATCTGAGGTGATGAATTAGTTGAACTATTAGAGTACAATAATACTCTTCTAATTGGGGGATATTCTTCTTCTAAAAGAAGAGGACCAAATTTTTATTTTCTAAATAGAAATGCCCCTTAAGAGACATGCCCATCACAGAGAGGATTTGGCAAAACCTCTATGTAATTAGTGCTATTGTGTAATCTACATGTAGGAATATACATTGTTCAATGACTAGAGACACATTATTTGCTAGATACATCTCCCATATATATCTTCAACAAAATCAATCTTTAAATTAGATTAGCCTTGTAAAGAACTTAGAATCATAGCTATTGAAACAATTAAAACATATTAGCATCCAAAAATCAGGTTAGTACAACTTTATATTAAGAAAGATACCTGTAATATCACACACAATTAAGTAAATTATGTCTCAACTAAGAAGCCAATGTTACAGAAAGTGTTAGGTGCACTAGGCGTTTGAGCCAACACCTAGTGCCTAGACGCCTAGGCATATGCCTAGTCAGCTCCTAGAGACCCTAGACGTTTGGCTATTTTTAAAATTATTTAACTATAATAAATGATAAAAATATGTATTAAATTCATATAAATTTACAAAAAAAATAGACAGCAATTTTAGATCCACAATAAACCATGCATACTTACTTAAATGCTAAATGGCTAAGATAATACCTAACAAGGTTATACAAAATGCTAGGAGGCCTAGGCGTTGGACCCCACGCCTAGAGCCTAGGAGGTTTTATTTTTTTATTTTTTTAATAATAATAATTGATAGTAAATGTTAATATCATAGAGAGCTTAGGTGTCAGACTGATGTTTAAGCGAATTTTTTTATTCATTTAAGTGGTGGTTGAGGAGGTTTTGCTGAAGGTCAAAGAAAGTAGCGGAGGTGTCCATATTTTAAGGTTAAAGGAGTTTGGAGAAGGTTAGAGGACGTGAAAGCTGCAACACAGAAATTCACGATCAAGACCTAAAGGTTGCAGTCTACGTAAGCAAATAATGCTCCCATAATATTCCCAAAACCTAGGTAGGCAACATAAGTACCACCTAGGCACTAGGCTCTGGTTAGGCGGTCTAGATACTGCCTAGACCTAGGCGTACGCCTAGACCTAGGCGTTCGCCTAGACCTAGGCGTTCGCCTAGACCTAGGCGGACTAGATGAAGACTTTTTAAAACAATGTAAGAAGCAAAGGTCTAGTCAAAGACAGCGTCATTACACAAGATCCTAAAGTTGTCCAAAGTTAATCAAATATGTTGGATATAAAACAAATTATGTCAAAAACTAGACCTTGGTGTCTACATACTTAAATCAATAAACATGTTTATGAAAAAGACTGTAAAGATAGATGGTTCATCCTCAATCAGAACAAATAAAAGCAGTAGTTCTGGACATGTCATTTTATTAATAATTTATGATCTCTTTTCCAATCAATCAGGAAAAGCTTTAATAAAATTTTGAAGCAAGTCAGAGCCATCTAAGTTGGTGCAGAATTGCTAACTAAGAAAATTATGAACAAGGACTTGCCACAAACATAGTGAAGCCATAGGCATCTCACAAGTATCACAAAACAGCTGTTAAGTTATGCAATTTGACAACATAACCAAGAAGGTACTTCCGTGGAGCATAAATCCTGCGTAACTGAAAAACCGATAGAAGGTGGAAGGAGATATGATTCTCTATAGAAAATTCTATTCACTTCTAAGGCATTAATAAGCCAAGACTCCAACTTTGGAGGGAAAAGAAAAACAAACACAGAGAGAAATACTGAATATGGTAACTCCTTTATCTAAACTCATCAAAAGGGAACAAGCATCAATTGCTAAGTTAGGCTTATTCAGGAAATTAGTTGTTGTCTCATGTTAGGATGAGCCTCAAGGTTACTAGCTAAAAGATAAACTATAGAGATGTCATGGGGAATGTTTAGTGACCCTTTAGCAAAGTTAGTAGGTTATTCAGATACAATAACCACACTAGCAATAGTAAACCTGTTCGCCCCAAACTTCAGTAGGTTACTCAGAATCTCAGATAATAAGAAATTCTAACTAAATCTATCTACGATTTGGAATCATGTAGTTGACAATTTAAATAGTACGAATTCCCTGATAGTACTGTTATTTATTTGTAATAATTTTAGAAATGTTGGCTCATAGGGTTAGGATGCTTGGACAATTAGTTTAAACTCAATCAACCCTAGGATTTACTCAGCCTTTTGACACTCCACTGACTAAGCCTAATTTTATAGCACATGCATCTCCCACTTAGTAAAAAAATAAACATTTTCTTTCCACGTCACTAGCCATCGAATAACTACATCAACTATCTAGTTATCAGATTATAAACCCTTAATATTTCTCCTTCTAATGCTAGTTTAAGATGTACTTCAGTTCCTAATGAATTCATGAGGTCAAGAATAAGGCCATAAGTTGCTCTGTTTCCTCTCAACTATCCAACTTAAATAAAATGATAACACAAAACATAAGTTGACAGTCAATCTATTCAGTTCCAAGGGAAAATAGCATTATAGAAAAGGCAAAAATAATTACATAGAAAAGATTTGTATGCTTGTTTTGTATAGAAAACAGAAGTAGCTTTGATCTATGCACCCGTTTAGCCTGCTTTTTATAACTGTTTCTTATAAATTTCTACATTGAAATTTCAAAAAACTAATTTTGTGGTCGAGCCTGTCATGCTTACAATGATAATGGTAGAACTTGACAATGTCTTCTTTGGTGTATAACTTTCACTTGGACTACGGATTTGCGAATCATGTCAAAGCCAAAAGGTACTGTTTCCCTCTCAGCTATCCAGCTCAACGTAAAAAGTATAATGATTCAGTAAATCTACTACATTTATTTCAGAAAAGTAAGAACAAAGATGTGATTTATATTTTACCACAGCATGTCCCAAAAATTAATCAGTGAAAATTTGATAAGGACATCATACAGTTTTGTAACTTAACAATGACATCATACAGTTTGATGGTGTAAATAGTCCAAAAAACCCCAAGGAAATTTCCATAAGTTATCTATTGCTAAGTATGCAGCCATAATAAAATAAAGCAAACTTGATAAAAAAAGAACACCATAGTGCAATAAATAAAAAAACTAAATTTCCACTAACCCGGGCAGCTCCTTTTTTGTGAGCATGATAAGTATCTCCATCTTTGTTCTCCCCGTACCAATAATAGGTCCCGGATTTTGCATCAAATAGAATTCCCCCGCCATGAGCTTGAATAGGATTCCCCTCAGTGTCTAGCCACGTCCTAGCTGGATAAAAATACATGCTATCATTTCCTCTCTTTCTCGGGTCTATAGCACTCATTCCACTGGGGAAGAAGAAAGGTCTCAGATCAGAAGATTCATTTAAGAACTCCTCGACTCCAGCTGGTGGCTTTCGGGGTCCTCTTCTAGCGTAACGATGGGATCCCTTTTTTCTATGAGGTGGAATTTGAAAGTTCTCTTCTTCAATTTCTTCTAGTTCCTCGATAATTGTATGATAACTCAATCTCACTTCGTTCTCCTTCTTGTCTTTATGATGTATTATGGAGTAAAAATGGATCATGAGTAGGCATCCGACCAATCCCCAAACGGTAAAAGAGAGGGACCATTTGCTTCCTGCATCCGAACAGTAAGAATATGACTTCCGTTGTTTGTTCCTCATCCTCTCTCTCTCTCTCTCTCTCTCTCTCTCAATTTATCTCCAAGAAAAATGCTGCAGTAAAGGAGAGTATAAACCTATGTAGATCCAGAGCATGCTATTATCACCTTCGAATCCTAAACGATCTATTTCGTTCAAAGGGGACAATTAATAAACTGAATCAAAGTATATAAACTTGGTTTCTGGATGAAAACTATGATTTGGAATAGAAGAATAAATGTCAGCAGCGAACATTGACGAAGTGAAATCAGTAAAATTCGGCAAAACATAAATCTAATAAGATTGATCATTTCATTTGCAGGCTAAGCTAAATTGCCGGTGAACATCACAAGAAACGTCCGTACAAATGAAAATAAACCCATTTCAGCAGTGTAATCATGGAAGCAATTTATCCGAACTTTATTTTTCCGTGGCATTAAAATCATCTCCCCAATCTGAAGAATCGAAATACCGACTATATGCAGTAATTGCAGATAACAACATTGATGGGTTTCATTCATAGATTCAGCAATCCTTTCAACAAAAAGAGCTTATGATTCGAAGCCCACTGAAGAAAATCAATCAACAGCCAAATAAACAAATACCCACCAAGCAAGAAGAAGGCAGCAGATTCACCAACTAAACTAATTAATCAAAAATCTAACGAGATAAAAGATAACCTTAAGCTAAACTCAGTACTTCAGATGAGAACACTTACTAACGAATTGAGAAATTGAAAACCCAGCTCCAGATCTTCTTGTGTCGACCATTCTAAACAATATCAGGAGGAGGTCAATCCTTTTTCCTCTCAATTTCAATAATTCTCTCTCTCTATATATATATATGGCTACCTATTTTGTGGCCCCCCTCTCTCTCTCTCTCGACCAGCAGCCCGCAAAGTGCAGCAAACATTTACTACCACTGAAATCTCAACCACCCCTCCCAACCTTCACCCAAAAAAAAAAACCAAAAAAAAAAAAAAAAAAAAAAAAAAAAAAAAAATAAAAAAACTTCGATCTTGCCTGCGGAGTGTGATCACCCTGAGGTTGACAGGTGATGCGCTGTAGGGTAGCTTGGAGTCAAAAGCATATAAATCTGGGCCGACGGAGTTTAGTACCTTCCTTTTTATCGTGAGTTTTGTTTGGAGAAAAAATAGTGGTTTTTTAAAAGGGACCCCCCCTAAGAACTATCCCAATGGGAACGGATAATTTACATTATTAATTAAATAGTTATAATTGTCAATCTTCCTCTAACAAACCCCAATTTATTTGGCAACCCATGTAGGTCACCCAATTTATATGGGATGTGACCATAGAATCCTTGCTCATTTTTTTCATGTACATATTCTAGTAGGTAGGGATGCTATCAGAACCGTCTTTAGAGGAGTTCATAAATAGAAGAGTTAGAATTCTCAAACTAACCACTAGCCATCTATGTATAATTTATTGCTGTCAAAAAAGAAAATAATTAGTATAACACCGAAATTAAAAAGTTAGAACACCAGGCCTGAACGGGTACAGTCGTGATTTCACTACTCTAGAAGATAGATGGCCCGCCTATCGCCCTGGCGTAGTCGATCCTCTCCCCTTAGCGGTAAAAGCCTCCGAAAAACGGCCGGCCTTTGTACTCGGGCGAGAGTAACAGAGTTTCTGCTCAGACGAAGATGGTTGCCCGGAAAAATAATGAACACAATAACAAAACTTTGAGAAAGAAATGGAGGAAGAATCGTATGTAGAAGAAGAGATGATGTTGCTTTTCACTGTGTCATCCGAGGACGAGAACCCCGATATATATAGGAGTTGGAGGCCAAAGAGCCGTTGCTCTGAATCCTCATATGTTATGCAGGATCCGCGTAACTCCCTGCGCCAACTCCGCATCCGTTACAAACGAGTTACGCGGAATAAAAACAGAAAAATGAAAATACTGAGATCCAAAAAAGTGTAAGTGTGTAGTGCGACGTGGCGTGGCGCGCGCGTCCTTGCGACGTCAGCATGGCGAGGCATGGCGTGCGTGCGCGCGCGCGTGTGTGTGTTATGCAAAGCCCACAAAACACAAAACACTATTCAATGCTTAATAAAATGTGAACCAATATAAACCTCTTGGACTTCCTTCCATTTTCTAATGTGGGACTATTCACAAAGGTAAAATTGACTTTTTATGAATAAAATATCCAACGGTCCTCCCAAAAAAGGCAATATTGACTAAAAACTTAAAATCAATAAATCATAAAAAGGATATAGGTTGGGCAACCTTTCGTATCGTGAATTCGGGAGAGGTAGGTTTCGGCTTTGAACCTTTCCTTAGTGAGTTCATCGCCACCTGAGGGACATAATGGACTAGGCCTTGAATTAGGCTCCTTGAACCAGGTATTGACGAAAACATATTTAATATGTCTTTATCTATTGAGCAAAGTGATTTGAGCGTTGCAATATTTAAAGGAATATTTCTATAAATCTAACTAGTGTTAACCAAGGGACCTAATAGTATATATTGTGATGATTTGAGGGATGTAATAGAAATTTTCATGATTTGAGTGAGTAATTTTGAAATAATGAAGATTTGAGGGACTAATTTGGAAATATTGAAGATTTGAGGGACTAATATTGAAATAATCCAATCATTAACTCTGAACTCAAGGATGTAAGAGGAAATTTGGTAATAATAGTTAGATTTGAGGGTTGCAATAGCAATTTCTATGAGATTTTGAGGACTAATTTAAAAATATTAAATCTTTGAGGGGCTAAAATAAAAAATCCCAAGCATTATTAATAAAAACCTAACCCACCACGTACATCCTCTATATATATATATATATATATAGAGAGAGATTAATGGAGGTCATTGACATAGGAGGGGATTTCCTCCTATGGAGCTGATGTGGTCAGATCTGAGCCACAGATCTGATTCGAATGGGTGTAAGCAATCAAAGGGAATTTTGCAAATAAGCTCATATCTGATCAAAACCGTCCTACGTGATTTATTTCCAAATCCCATCGTGATTTATTTCCAAAATTTCCAAATCCCCTCCTCCCATCGTGATTTATTTCCAAATCCCCTCCTCCCAGCGACAATCTTCCCGGCCGAACACTGACACGTCGAAGACCGATGCCGACGGCGTGATTTCTCCCGTCGACAGCCCCCTCCGCCTACCGCCTCCCACTGTCGAGACCGACGCCGACGGCGTGATTTCCTCCCGTCGACAGCCCTCTCCTCCTACCGCCTCCCACTGTCGAGACCGAGGCCGACGCCGTGATTTCTCCCGTCGACAGCCCCCTCCTTTAAGCCATTGATTGGCTATGTGAATACTTGGATACTTGATTAATCAGGCAGGTTAGGTACCTAGCTCATTAGCATAGTCATTCCAAGGTAGAGAAGTCTACTACTGCTCATCATAATTTTGAAGGGGAAAATAGATAAATACGAAAGAGAAGTAGCTTTTAAATGTGTAATGATAATGGTCTCCTTTTGCATTAGTCCCTTCTAAATAGCTTTTAAATTTAATTGGAATGAATCTTATTCCAAATTTTGTGCTCTTTGTCGGTATGCTTGAGATGATATTATAAAGTCATACATTCTGTTAGCACTAAAATATTATTTTTCCCTTGGAAATAGCATATACAGATTGATTAATCAATAATAAAACGAAGGGAACCAAGGAAATCAGATAATATTGACGTGTAAGATGTTTAGTTTAGTGGAATTTAGATTCAAAGGTCCAATTACTAACTCACCAATGTCAGACAACCTGGTTATATTAGAAATTTAAAACATAAAACTGAGTCATATTAGAAATTTAATACATAAAACTGAAGAATAAACATCTCTATTTGCGGAATTAAAAGGTTAACCAACTGAAAGAAACTGAGAACTGCAGAATATAATTTCTCAAAGTTTGTAACACAGAATTAAAAGGTTAACCAACTGAAAGAAACTGAGAACTGCAGAATATAATTTCTCAAAGTTTGTAACACATTGATAATTGTTTCAGGGCTACGAGAGGACAATGAATGTTGAAACAGATGATGTGCTACCCACTGGACTAAGTGAAAATGATACCCAAAATCTCATGGATGTTGATGTTGAATTGCATACAGGTCTTGTAGGCCCGAATGAGATGACTTTCATAGGAGAGGCGCCATACGAGGGAAAAGAATTTTCTACATTGGAGGAGGCATACAACTATTACAATTCTTATGCCAAAAAATGGGTTTTGGAATCCGCAAGGAAACAGCTGATAAGTCAAGAAAGTCAGGAGAAATTATTTCTCAAGTTTTTGTTTGCAACAAGGCAGAGAGAAAAAGGTTATCAGATAAGAGAGTGTGTGGGAAACTTGTCAATCGCCGTCCAGATACTAGAGTGGATTGTCCCGCAAGAATGAAGATTAAGTTGACTTCCTCCAAGACATGGATTGTCACGAAGTTTGAGGGAGAACACCCAACCCATCTATTATCGAGCCCTGATAAAGTGTTTAATCATTATTCCCACAGGCAAAGTCATCGCTCGAACACTTGCAAGAGAATTATTGAGAATTTGAGTGAAGAAGGAATGGCTCCTTCTACTATTGCTCGAGTGTATAATGTTGTACCTAAGAGTCTTGATGAAGAATATATTACTGCACAACAATGTATTGATCACATCAGAACTATTAGGAAAAAAAACATTGGCAATGAATGCATATCCATCATAAAGAATTTTTAAGATAGGAAGGAAATCGATCCAGAATTTTACATTTCCATAGAGCTGGATCAGTCGGGGACTATGAGGAGCGTGTTTTGGGCTGATGGGAGATCAAGATCTTCTTACTTAAGTTTTGGAGATGTAGTAGTGTTTGACGTCACATATAAAACCAATCATTTGAGCCTACCGTTTGCTCCATTCACAGGTGTAAATCATCATCGGCAGTCCATTCTCTTTGGTTGTGCGTTACTTGCAGATGAGCAAGAGGATACCTTTATTTGGTTGTTCACCCAATGGCTAAAATGCATGCATGGAGTTAGACCTAAAGCAATTATCACTGATCAAGATGCACAAATAGGAGGAGCTATCAAACAAGTTTTTCCTAATACCCGACACCGTTTTTGTTCTTGGCATATTGACAGACATATTACCGAGCAGCAACTTCCAATGAAAGCACAATATGGAGATGAGTTTTTTTACATATTTTGATAAGTGGTACCGAGCTAGCACTATTCACAATTGTGAGGAACGTTGGAAGATTTTGAAGGAGAAATTTAATATAGATGAGAGTGTAGATAGTTGGCTGACGAGGATGTACAGATTGCGTGCACACTGGGTAGATGCATATTTGCAAGACATATTTTGGGCAGGAATGACAACTAGTCAGAGGAGTGAAAGTATCAATGCATTTTTTGATGGTTATGTAAATACAAAGACTAGGCTTGTGGACTTTGTATGCCAATATGACAAAGCCTTAGCAAATCGCCGTGCATCTGAATCTCGAGAAGACTTTATGACATTGAATATTGTACCTACAATGTGCCTTTGACATCCAATTGAAGTGCAAGTTAGCAAATTATATACTAGGGGGATCTTTAAAATATTCCAAGATGAGCTTACTAATGGGTTATCACTTTTTCATGAAGAAATGCTAAAGGAAGAGCCAAAAATAATTTATCTAGTTGGAGATTTTTCTGAAGAAAAAGATAAATGGGAAGAAGTTACATATGACAAATCTAGCGAGTTTATGGTCAAATGCTCTTGTGCACTTTTTGAAACCGATGGGATCCTTTGTAGGCATATATTGCATATCATATGGCTTCATCAGTTGACAGCTATTCCTGATAATTATATTTTGCAAAGGTGGAAAATTAATGTAAGGCACAAAAACATTAGATTTTTTAATGATATGGATGTAAGAAGCAATGAAGGTAGCATGGAGCAGTGCGATATTATTAGAATGTGGGGAATTCGAGCCAGATTCAATGCTACCCTTGAGATGGCTTCATGTTCAACAAATG